AATGCAAAAATGTTTTTTTTTGGATTTTTTTAAATTTTATTTTTCTTTTTAGTTACATTTTGTTAACTCGCAAAAATGTTTTGTAAAAATCATCTATAATTCAAACTGTATCCCTTAGAATGCTGCCAACATTGTGGTATTCTTTGCGTTTTAGATGCACACCTACAATCAAAATCATACCGTGCATATAATTTGTATTTTATTTTTACTTATTAGTGATTATTAGTTAATGACTAATAACGCTACCATTCTAATTTCTGTGAAAACACTAGGCAAACCTGGGGGGAACCATGGCTGTTTGGTTGATTGGTTGTTTGGGAGCAATAGCTTAGGCCCAGGGCCTCATACCCTACCTGAGCTATGTCCCCAATCTGAAATTATCATTTTTATGGATGCACCACATTGGAAATTTCTGTTTTTTGCTATAAAGATCTATATGTTAAAAACCCAACACCTGGTGAGTTGACTCCTGTCCACCACATGTCTTCCATGACTGGTTTAAATTCTTTTTTAAAAAAATAATTTATTTAATTTTCTTCTCTGTACATTGATATGAAGGTGTCAGAATCCACAGAACTAGAGTTATAGACAGTTGTAAACTGCCATGTGAGTGCTGGGAATTGAACCTGGGACCTTTGGAAGAGCAGCTAGTGCTCTTAACCTCTGAGCCATTTTTCCAGCCCTCCTCCCCTTTTTGAGACAGGGTTTCTCTATGTAGCCTTGGATCTCACTCTGTTGACCAGGGTGGCCTTGCACTCACAGAGATCTGCCTGCCTCTGCCTTCCCACTGTTGGGATTAAAAGTGTGCACCACCACTGCCCAGCTGATTTAAATTCTTATCCTCTGAATAGAAATTGGGAAATAGAAAACAATTCAGGAAATAACCAGGCCTGTGTCGTACCTTTTGAGCCTAACCTTCTGAGTCTGATGGCCCCACACCAGACTAACCATATTGATACCAACTCAGTAGTGGTTTCTTAGAATTGCAGCCACTATTCAGGGAATCCCAGACAGCTATGGAAACCAGAAAACTGGACTCACGGATAGCAAGGCCCACCGCATCCCAACAATGTTCATCTACAGAAGGTAACTCACAGGTCATAATTGAGTTGCTGGAGTCTGTTTAATTGTATTTGACCCCCACTCATTGTCTGTTAGCAGGGACAGTGTATTTATTTTAATAATGAGCTTCCAAATGTTTTGATGTTGTAGAACATGCCAAATGTAGGATGACCTCAGCTTGCTGTGATTTCTACACAAAGCAGTGAAGAGAGCCGGGGGGATCAGCTCAGTTGGTGGAGCACTTGCCTGCCACACACCAAATGAACAGGGGTTGATGGTACAGACCTACACTCCCAGCACCTAGGAGAAAGAGGCAGGGAGACCAGGAGTTCAAGGCCATCCTTAGCCATATAGCAAGTCTGAGGTTGGGCTGGGTTACATGGGATCCTACTTCAAGTAAAAAGACGAAAGGCACACAAATAGAACTAGATGACATCAAACCAAGAAAGCTGTGATTTTTCCTCTAATTGGAGAATCCTAGCTGGGATTGTTCAACTGAAGAAAATTTTTATCAAAAATGTACTATAATTAAACAAAATAAAGCCCTGTGTGGTGGTGCATACCTTTAACCCCCCCCCCCCCCCCCCCACTCAGGAGGCAGAAGCAGGGGAATCTTCGACTTCAAGGCCAGCCAGGCTCTTGGGGAAAAACTTCAGAGCCGCCATCCTGCCTCCATTTCTGGATGGATGCTTTGGCGTCCTAACAACGTCAGCACTGTTTTGATGAAGGGCTTCGCACTGTTTTACCACAGTGAATCAATTCAGTTATAGTAAGAGAATGAACAAACAAAGTAACGACAGCAAGAAGCGAAAACAGGTCAGCACCAGGAGCTGTCAATATCACACTTTTCTCTTAGCACTTGGCTTCGGGAACACTCCTTGCTTAGAGGATGACCTCTACATCAGATGTTCAAATGCAAATAGATGTGACTTCCTTGACTATGGAAGCTGCCTGCAAAGTGTTAAAGTATGTTTTATTCTCCTGATGTATTGTCATCCCTGAGGCTTACTGCCTCTGCTAACCTAGGTCTAGTCCTGGAAGCTTTTAGACTCCATATAATCTAATCTAAGCCTAGAAAGTTTTCAGCCACTGAGACTTACTGCTGAATAAGCTCATCCTTTCTGCTGTTCTGGCTCAGACTCCTCTCCATGATGACTGTTTCAAACTGGCTTCTCTTTCGGCCTTTCACTGGATTGCTCTGCTTGGCCTCATACTATCTTTGGCAATATGTTCTAATCCTTCTCATTCTCTGGCTCATTCTGTCTTCACCTGTGTCTAGCTTGTTCCCTCTACAACCTGGCTCTGTACAACTGTTCTGGCAAAACTGCCTCCTCTCTATCTCTCTCCTCCCTGCTATCAACTCACTGACTCAACCAAACTATAAGATAGAACTGACTAGAACTCAGAGATCTGCATACATACTCTAAGTGCTGGGATTGAAGGCATGAACCATCATGCCGTGACCTATACCAGGCTGGCCCTGAGCTCAGAGATCTGCTCGCCTCTGTCTCTTGGGATTAAAGGAGTGTCTGTATTCTAGCCAGATCACACAGACCTAGCAGGTCTTTGTAAAATTTCTCTACAGTGAAGTACTAAATCAGGATTCAGTGGATGTTTCAATGTTTCATTATTATACCTGTGTTTTTCTGTCCGTGTCTATGCCCCTTTCAGGAAAGATGTTAACCTCTGCCCCATCCCTGCCCATGTTTCTCCGGGAAGGTTTGCCTAACAATGCCCAAAGCTATCCATTTCCTATTCTCTCATAGGCTCCTCTGGCTCTTTGACATCACTGAATTCAGTTTTCAGCAAGCCCATTGTCTTGTATTATTAATATACAATTAAGTACGTTACAGCTATTGTGAACAAATAAAGAGCTACAGAGCCACTGAAGTGGGAGGACTCATTTTCAACCAGGAGGAAAGAGGTAATTGTATCAGCAAGGGCTGGTACAGGTTTCTGTGGAGATGAAGAGCAATCAATGATGATGTGAGGCTCTTGAGTCTGGGTCAATGAGAATTTGTTAAATAGATGAACTCCTAACTGGGTTAACAGCTATATGAATGTTATTTCCAACACAGCAAGAGAAATGAAACAACTTGAGGGCTGTGTAGAATGGTGAATTTGGCTGTAGATACTTGTGTAAGTGTGCCTGTGGACAAGCCATGTGGACTGGGTCAGACAGGCTCTTTTTTGAGGTCAGAGGAGAGTTTATGAGTCATCAGCAAGGTGAGAACTGTACACTATTTTCTTTTCTTTTCTTTTTTGAGAAAGAGTCCCATATATATCTGGCTGGCCTCCACTGAACTGAGGACAATCTTGAACTTCTGATGCTTTTTCCTTGCTTCGTGAATGTCAGGATTACAGGTTTGCAATGGCATTGTGGTTTTGTTTCCTGCTGGTTTTGAGTCTTTACAGAACAGTCCCTAAAGTGCCATTTGCATCGGATTATACCTATTAACACAAATAACTGCAGCCTCTGGTTAAACGACTTGATCAACCTGAGGAACGGTAGGTCAAGTCCATGAATTCTCAGCACGAAGGCTGTTGTCACTCTCCTCACCCCCTTAACCATTAGCAGCGGTGATGGCTGGCACCAGGAGAAGCAAGGTGCCATCTTGGAGTTTCGTAGGAACAAATTACGACTCCAGAGTTCAAAGGTCACATGAAGAAGAGTAAAGGAAGGCCACCACAGGATCTGCCCCGTCCCTCTGTTCCCACTAGCGTCCTTTGTCTTCCTGGAAGACCAACGCAGGATGTTAGACTTCCTTGGCACCAGAAATGCCAGTGAACAGAGCGCTAAATTTCCCATGGGGTGGTGGTGAGAGGGAAAACATTTTCAAGTGAGAAGGCGAGTGTCCCGAATAAGAGAAAGTGGCTTGCAAGAGGTTGATGGATTCCGGGCAGAGTTTGGGCATGGCTGTCTTGGCCAACGCAAGGGCTTTCAGTTGAGGAATCCCAGGGTAGGCTGGGAATGAGTCTTGTGTTGGAGTAGCATGGGGAGGGCCAACCAGAATCCAAAAGGGTAGGTAGGAAGTTCAAGGCAGGGACTCTCTGGCAGACAGGTCCTTTCCCTAGAGCCTGGAAAGCCCGGGTCCTGGTGAATCGCTCCCGGTCCCACGAACTCTCCTGGCCCTTGGCACGAGAAGGAGAGGTTCCAGGACATTCCTGCCTGCCCCTGCCCCACGCATTGGGGGCTTCTCTTCTCGGAGCTCCCTTCGCTGTTCCCTTTCTCGTGAGCTTGACCCAGTCTTCAGACTCTCCAGCTGCTTCCGCAGAGGGGCGGGTCGCGGCCGCGGGGTGGTAGTGGGGGACTCGCTGGGCGCCGGCGGCGGAGCGCGGAGAACGGCTTAGCGGTCCGGGCGTCCGCGCCCGCCCCGCCCACCGCCTCGCCGCCCCGCCCGCCTCTGCGTCATGACGCCGGCGCCCAACGCGGAAGCCGCCGGCCGCCTGGACCAGCCGCGGGCTGTGCGCCGAGCCGCGGCGGGCGGGAGCGGGCGGGGGCGCGAGGCGAGCGCAGCTGCAGCCTGGGCGG